TTCTTTTTTTTTCAGTAAGAGGTTTTTAATTAATAGACTTTTTGGACAAAAAAATCGCAATATATCACAATATATTGCCTTGCGTACAGTATTGCAATATATCGGGATATATCGTATCGTGACCCCTCTGTTATGATATGTATCGTATCGCCAAATTCTTGCCAATACACAGCCCTATCRAGGAGCTGCGAGCGAACGAGGCTCGCTTTCAGAACTGTCCCGAGTCCAGTTTGATGAGCCGCTGACCTGCATTGGTGCTGATATCTCCTGTCAGGACACCGACTACAGATGGTTAATTTCAGCTAAAGAGCTCCTGTCCATCTATCTCAGGTTTGTGGACATCATTCAGTAAACTGTCCTGTCTGAAAATCTCACTACGTCACACAGTGGAGTCTCTGATTGGTTGACGTGGCGTGTCGAGCTGCAAAAGTTCAGATTTTCTAACTCAAATTGATCAGATCGCTCAAATTGCACCGCAGCACTTCCTAACGCTGCTAGATGCGTGTTCACCACAGACATTTCATGTAAACCTGATGCTCCTGACGCTGAAATCACGTTCGTTGTGAACGCAGCTTAACATTGAATGCCTGTGACCTTTGACCCCTCAGGCAGCTCTGCATTAAAAACCCACATCATTCTGTAACGATATAAACACATGGGCTCAGGAAAACTTCAGAAAACCTGACGGTGAACACAGTTCACCTCTATGTCTACAAGTTAAAGCTCTATCATGCAAAGTGATGGCCAGACATCAACAACACACAGAAACACCGTCGGCTTCTCTGGACCTGAGCTCCTCTGAGATGGACTGATGCAGAGTGGAAAAGTGTCCTGTGGTCTGACCAGTCCACATTTGCTGGTAAAGATTCTCAGTCATCCAAGTCATGATCAATTAAAAAAAAAAGTTAAAAACAAAACAACTGGACTTCTATACTGAAACTGAAGACATGGATTAGAACTGAGAAAGCTGCCTGGATGTGAAGTGAAACGTCTTCAGTCCACATTTCAAACTGTTTTTGAAAATCATGGACGAAGAGGAAAAAGATTGTTTTCAGCACAAAGTTCAAAAGCCAGCCTCTCTGATGGTATGGGGTCACATCTGTGAAGACACCATTAATGCTGAAAGCTACATCCAGGTTTTGGAACAACACATGCTGCCATCAAACCACGTCTTTTTCAGGGACGTCCTGCTGATTTCAGCAAAACAATGCCAAGACACACGCTGTAGTAAAAGAGTGCAGGAACTAGACTGGCCTGGCTGCAGTCCACACCTGTCTCCTGATGGAAATGTGTGGAGCATGATGAAGAGACCCCCGGACTGTTGAGTGACTGAAGTTGTTCATAAAGCAAGAATGAAAGAGTTCCAGATACAAAGCTTCAACAATTAGTGTCCTCAGTTCACAAACACTTATTGAGGGATCCATTGACCCATTTTTGGATCAAATTCAGTGTGAGTGAATATTAAAAAAACAAAGTTTATCTGTTTGAACATTAAATATCTTTGTAGTGTGTTCAGCTGAATGTAGGTTGAAAAACCTTTGCAAATCACCATATTGCGTCCCAACTCATTGGGGTTGTATATTCTGTGTTTTTGTGGGTTCATTTGTGATTATCCACTTGATAAGAGGGAAAGTTTAGGTTGTTTTTAAGGAATACAAATATGCTGCAGAATCACAGCTCTTCTGTTGAGATGTGAAACGATCCAATCAGTCGCCTGTTTACTAAAAATGGCAGTAATTACAAATTCAGGTTATTTGCCACATAATTATCTGTAATTACAGTTTCTGAGTGTCCCTGTGAAGCAAACTAAACTGTAAAGCCTATCATTATCAATGTTGGGGAGGAGGTGTCTTCACCTTCAATATAACAATATGATTGTCTAACATTCTGTTGGAAATGTGTGTTGTTGCAGATTTCATCCATAAAATTACAGTTCAGGCATCCCCGGCTCTGGAAAAGAGGAGGAACTCCCCTGATTTGGGTCCGGGCTCCTCGCCTTCCTTCGGCCCACGGTTTCGTGCAATCCAACGTGAGTGAACACAGGCCACAGGTGTATTTAATGTTTCTGCTGTTTTCCTGACGGTGAAGGCAGCGGGGACCGTAACCAGCAATCGTGTACGTCTGTGAGCCGTCACGGTTCTGTTTCCAGCTCCTTTCATGTTCTCCTAAATGCTCACGTCTTTTGTCTTCCCCCTCGATTCCCAGTGGGCCTCCTGTTCTCTTCCCTCCCTGCTCTGCCTCTCACACACACCCTTTTCCCTTTTCTATAGTCGGTTCCAGTCTAAATATTATCTGACTTCCTCTCTGCAGTTCAGCACTTTTTTTTGCCTTTATTCCCACCAGTCCTCCTCTGCTCCTTCTGTTTGCAGTTACTGCAGCTCACCAGCAGAGGGCGCCAATCAGCTGTGTGTTAAAACGTATTTAGGCACAGTCAGTTTTTATCTGCATGCAGCGGTCACAGTGCGGTTGGCTGAATCACAAATAGCCTTTTTTCTTTTTTCCTTCCTCAGAGGTTTACAGTCCTCTGCTGCTCGTCACTCCCAACGTCCTGAGATGTTCGCTCAGGGATTCTCCATCAGTGTTGCAGTGTTTTTCTAATAAAAAAACCCAGAAACAAAAACAAAAAAAATCTGTAGTGGTGGAGAAGCAAGGCAATAAAAAGGGTTTTACTAAGCAGTGAGCGCAGAGGTTAATATAGAAGAACAACTTGTGGTTGAAAGAATGTATCTCCAGAAGTGGTAAAGAAACGTAAAACATCTGCTCGCCTCATTTGTTCATTAAATAGTGGGCTGGCTTTTTTTATTTTATTTTTTTTTAATTTCCAAATGACTCCCTCTAATGGGAGTCAGTAAGCCATGTGCGGCTGTCATTAAAATGTGTTTAGTGCTTATTTATGCTCGCCCTCTTAGCAGCTAGCAGTGATTTATCTCTGGGGTCTAAAACAGAGATTTGTCTCCAGAACAGCCTGAGCGATTTGCATTAGTCGACTGAGCTCCGTTCCATTGGCTCTTTTTCTGACAAATAAGATAACAAGGAACTCAAACCAGCCCCCCCCCCCCCTTTTTTTATAGAATTGATAGACTGGAGGCTTGTTTTAGTTAGCATCTTTTCCAGCTCAGCAGACTGTCAGTGTGATATTTGTGCCATGAGTTTGTTTTTTTGTTTTTTCTCTGCCTGGTGGGACAGGCTTAGATTGATTTTATTTCTACCTTATTAGACAGATTCTACATTTTACTTTAGGGACAGGGATCTAAAGCATCGACTTTTCCAAATATGGATGTGTTCATCCTCTGAGACTCATAAAACCAATGCAAGAACACAACTTATTCAGCAGACATGAAATAAAAATAAAAACAAGTAAAAACTGGAAGCTACAGAATTGGTGCTGGACTATAATTTGATATAGATATATTGCGATAGAAAACATTTCAATGATGGTGATATGACTTTGTAAAAAATTTGATTGATATATGTCATTGTGCGATCATGGGTTGGCAGGCCATTGTGACATAAAATCAGCTTCACCACACTTACATTCCAGATATTTGATATTGGTTTATGACTAAACATATTAGTTGATTAAAATATCTCTAATAACATTTTGACTAAGCAGAATACCTATTTATATTTATATAAATATTTATATTGTCTGACTTGTTTTAATGGTGTCAGATTAAGCATTAAGCTGTATGGAGGCTTTAATTCAAGATATCTGCAATAAATGACTATCTGAAACATACATTTCAGATATGAACAATGAAATTATGACTAGTCATAAAGTAAATTTGAAATATGTTGCTTTTTGTTCTGACTAATCATAATTTTAATAAAAAATGTCTTAAATATCAGGTTTGTAGGTACAGTAAATATTGGTGTTCTCTGCAGTTTTTCTGACATTTTTACTGTATTCATATCGATATCCAAATATCATATCGAGTGAAATTAGGAGTTATATTATTCAGTTCAGTTTATTTCATTTCAGTTTATTTATATAGAGCCAAGTCACAACATACATCATCTCAGGGCACTGTACACAACAAACAATCTAAAGAAGAAGTCAGCAGATTGTGTGAGTCACTTCATCACAATCTCCCATCCTGAGCAGCACATTGGTGACAGTGGAGAGGAAAAACTCCCTTTTAACAGGAAGAAACCTCCAGCAGAACCAGGACCAGGCCCAGGCTCAGGACAGGCGGCCATCTGCTTCAACCGCTGRGTTTGGAGACAGGAAAGAGACACAGACAAATACAGACTGACTAGTCCAGGTGTATTTTCTTCTGGAAGAGAGACAAAATGTTATGATTATGCATGATATATCGGCATTAACGTCAGTATCGGCCGATGGTCATTTTTTTGCACATTGGTATCGGTCCGATAAAGAAAACTGGGTGATATTAACGTCCGATACTGATTTCACACTTTTTATTTTTATGCTTTTGTTTTGGGAGGGGGGGATCTTTTTGATCATGATAGTGTTGGTGACACTGAGCAGCCAAGAATAACTGAAGTGGAGAGCCATGTCAGAGGTCTGGTTGTTTATTTATGGTATTGAAAAAAGACGTGTGTTTGTGCATTTATGTATATGTGTAAATAATTTGTGTCTGTAACAGCAATATTTAAATCAGATATCCATATCGGCTGAAATTTTCACATCAGTTCATTCCTAATTATGATATAAGTTTTAGCTTCTAGCTTCTATGCAGAATATAACTAAAGCATGTCTTGAGTCTGCACCGAGCCTTACAATGTAGAAATGTCTTTAGAGGAGGCCATTGCCCCTCGTGACCTCCCTCCTGGTGGCGGCCCTGGCTTCAACCACTTGTCGTTTTTGCCGTCTCTGCTTAACGTCACAGTTTAACTCATGAGAGTTATATAGCTTTTTATTTACCTTTAAACTAGTTAACATTTTTTCTGAGTGCTACCTGTGGTGTAAGAAATATAGTTTTTGACCTGTTACCCTTCCTCAAATACCTTTCAAAAGCGACTTCACAGATAGTTGTTTAAAAGAAACATGGCAGTGCCAAGCCATAAAGTATAATAGGATTGAGTTTTCAGTTAATGTGTCTCAGGATAGAAATTAATCATCTGTTTCCCTCATTATCAGATACCGACCATGTTCTGAGTGAATCTCTTTTTTTGTTCTGAAATACCCACCAAATATACAACAACAAAATACTCTTTTTAATCTGAGGCAAAGAAAGTTCAGATTTGTTTTCTTGTGTATCGTGTAAAAAAATAAGAAGTACTGTTTTGATTTTTCTGCACTAACTTCAGTGCTGAGAAAAGAATCCATAGGCTCTTTCCAGCTGTGTGACAAAAAGTTGAAACATGTGGCAGGAAGTCCAATGTATACAACCTACGTGTGACTAAACACGGTTTACACATTCTGCCTCAACAACAACACGATGGGTTGGAGGGGGGCGGCGAGATGTTGCCAGAAGTCGGCAGGTGCAATCTGGTCTTTTCTTAGAGCTCTGCTCCTCGTCTTCTCTGAGGTGACGCTGGCTCCCTCTCCTCACACTTTGTGAAGCATGTCTAAGGGTATGTTATGGTGTGGACTGCATCCACATGATTAGTTTTAGAGCTCATTGGGACTCCCAACTTTCTGGAACAAGTAGAAAAAGAAGCAGTTTTATCAACTCAAGTCAGTTTGAGGTCTGTGTGTTGTTGTTTTTTTTTTTGGTAAAAACTCATTTTTTAAAGCTCTCTTCTCATTAAAGTTAAAAAAGGTACTTTTGTGCTAGTTTAACTCTTCTTTTCTTCTCTCCAGTCAGTCCCAGTGACAGAGGCAGGGCGTTTGGTCTCAGTCCAGTCCGGTCCATAGAGACCCCCTCTCTCAAGCAATCAAATGGCGAGCTGAGGTTGAGTCCCCACTGGAGGCCCCAAAGCCCAAAGAGTCCTAAAAGCCCTAAAGTCCTGCGCCTCAGTCCCCAGGAAAGCAGGTACACTGGGATCTTTTCTTCTTTTCCTGCATTTGAACATTTACAGGGCTGTGATTTGGCTCTGCTTAATTCATCAGCCTTTCCTCATTGAAATTCTGGCTGCTTTCAGCCTGTCGATGAGGGCCAAGCTCCTGGAGTCAGACAGCAACGAGAACGGCGAGTCCAGGGATGACTTTGAGGAGTACCGACCCTCCACGCCAACCCCATCGGCTGCTCAGAACGGTACTGCGCCCTTCATCGCTCTAACCGCCGACTTCATGGTTAACTGTAGTTAAAATTCACATGAGTGGCAGGAGTGTGAATTAGAAATAGAAGCTGAATGAATAATAAATGCGTTGAGTCATCTGTTTTCTGTCTCAAACTTCTGTTCTCTTTCTGCAGGCTCCTCTGTAAAGGACAGTCTACGGCTTCCCCCCTCTCAGGGAGACTCGGGCAGTGAGGAAGGGGGCTACTCCCCCGCAAGCTCCCCGATGTCTGAGCGGGGCTCTTTGGGCAGCATGCTTAAAAACACCCACCGGGCTCTGCTAGGCACTGGCTCCATCCTGGCTTCTATAGGACTAGGCCGGGGTTTGGAGATTCCCCCCAGGGTGCCGCCTCGAAACAACCTCCCTTCTTTAGAAGACCGCACCTCCTTCGAACTTGAGATCTCCCACCCCATGCCCCTAATAACAGACCCCCCAACAGTAGACGACCTCATCACCTTCTCCACCTCTGAGCCGCTCCCCAGACCACTTTTGGAATTAGCCCTACAATACCAGGAGCTGAAACCACAGCCTCTGACGCCGCCTCCACCCAACCCGAGAGAGAGGGCCGGACCCCGGACGCAGCAGACGTACACCAGCCCGCCGAGCCCCGGGATGCAGCAGCAGCAAGACAGGGCCAGCCCTGGGGAATGGACCGCCAGTTCTGGTTCCAGCAACGGGGAGCTGAGCTTTGAAGGTTTGGAACACAGAGTGGAGAGGAGGAGGAGGTCCAGCCAAGGCCTACTACATGCTTCTCAGCTAGGTTGGTCTGTTTTTCTACTCATGCTAAAGTAAACATGACGTCACCAAGACCTTTTGTTCCTCCATGATGGTCGGAAACTACTTACCTTAGTGTAGCATTAGTACACATAGTTGGTTGTGCAGCTATGGGGCCATCACACCACACTAGATAAGTTCTGAAGTTTAGGACCAGACTAAGAATCACTGGCCCACTGGCTTTCAGAGCAGGACGTTGGTACCTCACAAGGTTGAGGCGGTCAGGACGACAGACACCCCCTGACTAGGGTTGGATGAAGACAACAGAACGACCTGCATTGAAAATGTAATGAGTCTGACTGGTTTTCCGAGACTGGTTACCCACAGGGTCTTCAAAAGTCTAAAAAAGTCTACAATTTGAAAATCTAAATTTTAGGCCTAAAAAGTCTTAAAAACGCCCAGATTTTCATCCAAGATCTTAAATTTAATTTTGTCAAGTCTTAATTTTTTACTTTTGATCATTCCCAAGTAGCATTGGCTGCATAAATAGAGTAAAGAGCTGTAATCAGAGGTTGACTCGATCTGTCTTCATGAAGTGCTTAGTTTGCTACCGGTCTTTGTACACGTTAAACTACAAATCCTGTGATAACTGCAGGCAAAAAATGGCACAGTTTACTTCAATGTTTTCGACCTGTTTGCATTACAAGCCCCCTCATACGGCAGCTTATTAAGCCCCCAAAAAACAAAGACGTTCAGTCATGTCTTCTGCTTGTCGTTTAAACACGGGAAGTGTGTTTTCAATGAGACTTGACTGATATCAGTGATTTTAGCACTCTGTTGGAAGCAGTACACAGCAGTCAAATTTGACAATTTCATTTAAATAATTCAGTGTTCTTGTATTGAAATTAAATATTATTTAAATAGCTAAATTGATAGCAATAAAAGGTTTCTATGTTAAAATTTCTGGGACCATTTGACTGTTCCTGTTAATGTGTCGGTTTGGTCTTAAGTGTCATTCCTAATGGTCTTAAAAGGTCTTTAAAAGGTTTTAAATTGAACTTACTGAAACCTGCATGAACCCTGTACCCAGGCAGCAAGAGGGAACACTTTGCTTTGAGAGGCTGCTTGACTGGGAAACAGAGAACTTTTAATGGTTTACAATCCCTCTGGATAGTCAAGTTTGGCAGAGCCATTCTGGAGACCGTACTAATCCATTCAGTCAGTAGTAGCAACATATCGTTCTAGATTGAGTTGTGTCTTGACCTTTTTTTTAACAACATAATGTCCCGCTGACAGAGGTGGGCTAATGGTGCGTTCACACCGAACGCGATTTCAGCGTCAAAATCGCAGCCAACGCTGAAGTTTGAAGCTTGTGCACTTTGAGGTCAGACGCAGGACACCTGCGCTGCACGACGACAGCCGCCCCGCCCCTCCCTCCTCTGTCGGGCTCTGTTTAATGTCGGACGAGGAAGTGGCTTTGCTTTATTTACAGACAGCCAGAACGTGTCACGTTCATCAGATAATTAATTCATAATTAATTCACCAGATAATTCAGAGAAGAGGCTCACAGCTCGCTTTCAGGACTATTTTTTTCAGTCTGATGAGTCGCTGCCACGCATTGCTGCGGATCAGGACACGACTGCAGCACTCATTTTAGCTAAAGAGCTCCGCTCCGTCTGTTTCAGGTTAGTGGACCTCATTCAGTAAACTGTCCCGTCGGGAAATATGTCACTACGTCACACAGTGGAGTCTCTCTGATTGGTTGACGCGGTGCGTCGAGCTGCAAAAGTTCAGATTTTCTAACTTCAGCGATTTGGACGATTTGGACGATCTGAGCGTTCGACGCTCAGATCGTCCAAATCGTCCAAATCGCGCTGCTCTAATCGCGCTTGAGGCGCCGCAGAACTTCCCGACGTTGCTTGAAGCGCATCCACCATAGACTTTGTATGTAAACCTGCTGCTCCTGACGCTGAAATCGCGTTCGGTGTGAACGCACCATAAGTTTCACAAATCGGCTATCAGCTATTAGCAAAACGAACGACGGGCGTCTTCTCTTCACCAAAATGTCCTTGGCTTCTGTGATACAGAGTCCTGATGACTCCGATGGGTGATGGGAGTCAAACCGCAAGTACTCATCTGCGTGCCCAGTACTTCAGAGTAATCATTATGTGCATCTCTAATTTTTTATTTTATTTTTATTCTAGTGCAGCCTGTAGCTTTTCATTTGCAGTGGAGCTTTACTGCTTCGTCCTCTCCTTCCATCACTAGATTTTAGACACCCCTACAGTAGAAGTCGTAGCATAAAAGATGTAAAACAGGATTTAGTTCAAACAAAGCTTTTACTACCTGCTTTTTGTTAAGCTAAGAGGTATTCTGTCTCTGCTAGTTTAATTATAACAAAGGTGTTTTTTTTTATATCTGACTACCTGATTAAAAAGCCCATCTAAATCACCTGAGTCCTTCCTTAAAGCACATGCTCTGTCCCAGGTTGGGTCTCAGATTTGGTTTTTAATTTCATCATTGCGATTCATCTGGAACTCCTCACTGGTCGTGTTTCTCGAGACCCCCGCACACAGAAATGTGAATCCAGCTTTAACCTTGAATTATGTCCCTCCTCAGCATGACGACGCTCCCTCATGGTTCTCCCCGAATTAATACTTTACCTTTCTTTTTGGAGAGATTTCTTTTTTTGTCTGGCACAAGGACACTTCAGTGCTGCAGGAGCTTTTTTATTTACATAAAAGCTGTCCTTCTATTTGCATATCTCAGGTAACAGCTGGCCCTTGTCATACTTCACTGCTAATACTTGCTAACTAGGGCTAGCGTCCAGTCTTTTATAGGTTTTGCTTCTTTCAAGACAGTTTTATTTTTATAAAGACCTACTGTATTGTAGGAATGTATATTGCTCAGTGACTTTTGTGCCAGTTTAAAACTAAGATCGTTTGACGATGAGAAAGGAGTTATACCCATTTTGGTCAAACCTTTAAATAACTTTATACATGATGCCACAATGAGGAAAGTGCTTTAAGAGTGTTCCCTCTTCACCTGGGTAAGCCGTCTCGCAGAAACCTGTCTGACTCATTGCCTTTTCAGTGCAGGTTGTTCTGTTGTCGTCCATCAGCTGTAGAGGCACATTCAGTGATCACTTTCTGAAAGGGTCCTTAAAATCCACTGAGTCCGTCTTCAGCTAACTGGATGTCAGCATGGGAAACGTGAAACAGGATAAAATGTCGCACTCAGAAGAAATTAGCATCAGTTTCCCTTTCAGATTTATCAAACATGGCATGTTTTCTTTGCGCGCGTCGCGTCATCTCATATTATTTTACCCCGAAGGCTAATCAGCGTTTTTAAAAAGCTGTGGCTCGGTTCACAGCTGCAACAGTGTAAGTGTTGTGCTGTTTTGGAGGCGAGCGAGGCCCATCAGGGACCACCTCCTGGTAACGTTTCACACTCTGCGTCGGGTCTGACTGACTCAGATTCTCCACAGAGAGGGTCTCCCAGCTCAGCCCGCAGGTTCTGAACACACACGCCTTGTGTGTTTTGCTGCTTACAGCCAGAAGCTCATAAACAGCATGTTGTCAATAACAGAGGCACAAAAAAAGCCTTGTGGAGTTAAAGGGCCAGTTGTTTGTCTCACATTCTGGCATGTTTAATATTATTGATAATATTTTCTCCAGTGGCTTACTGTCAGTAGCAAAAACATATCTTGAACATATAGAGTTATATAAAACAACTAGAGGGAGCACAAACTGCCCCATCTATTGTTTACATCTGTGTCAAAATAWTTTTTAATTTCTTTACAGTAAATTAATATAATTCATAACTAGAGGAATTGCAAGGGTGAATATTTCTTGCTGAAAACCTTAGCTGAAAGCTAAATTTTAATGCAAGTTCATTTGAAGGCATTGAAGCACCAAAAAACAGAATTTTCCAGAAACAATAGCTAAAGTAGCAGATAAAAGCTAAAATTAGTATTATAAGAAGCTAAAGGTAGCAGACACAAGTTAAAACTAGCTTACAGATGGTGAAAGTGGTGTAAAAAAAAAGGCAAAATTAGCAGAAAAGTACAAAAATTGCAATTTGTTGTAAAATAGCTAAAACAGCCGAAATGTGCATCAAAATAGCTAAAATGTTGCTGAAAATGCTGCATTTAGCATAAAGATGCAGGAGTGCATGTTTCCAGAACTTAGTAGAAAGAAAGAGGAATGACCTCCAGAATGTAAATTTAGCTTAAAAACTCATTTTAGCTAATAACAGCTTAACAGTGTTTTAGAACTGCAGCAAACAGCTGAAATAAGCAGAACACAACTGAAAGAAGCATTTAAAGCTCAAATTAGAAAAAAAAAGGCTGAAAGCACAAAAGAGTACAATCTAGCAAAAAAAAATAGCCGAAAGGAGTAGAATTTTAGCAAGAAATAGCAGTAAAAMGCTAAAATTAGCAACAAAAGAAGCTAAATATAGCACAAGGAAGTTAAAAAGAACTGAACCAGAACAAAATTTGTCAAGTGCCGTAAAGAGTTATAAACATTTTAAAGGGTTTTAAAGATGTTAAAAACTTTGCCATTCATTTTCCATGGGAAAAATGTGGCCGAAAAAGTGAAATAGCTAAAAATTATAAATAGCTGAAATATCAAAGCCATACCCGAAATGCCCTGAAGGAACTGAACGTTCTCATTTATGAATTGTTGAAGTAGCACAAAAATTGCGGGATGAGACTGGTTCCGAAATACATATGGAAGAACAAATGGTCTCAATAGTGTCAATGCTTGTTTTTATCTTCATTGATGTTAATTTCATATAACAAACATACTKGATGATATACAAGGAAAATATATTAGGTCCATCCAATGAAATGTAAATACTACAACAACTGGAAGCAATAGCAGCATGTYTTAGACAGTATAATAATTTGTACTAAATAGTAGCCTGGTTCAGTTTGTACAGCAAACTTACTGCTAGACTCTGTTTAACAATATGCCACACAATTAGTCCTTTTCRAGTTTATCTTCTGTTGTTACATCCATAACACACATCTTTCTGTCATTTTTACAATTTTATATTTCATTATTACTATATAGCTTGTATATGTATTTTATTATTATAATATTATAAACATTTTATTAGTATTTTTACTTCGTTGTTACTCTGAACTGTTTAGCCAATATTCACCAAAAACAGACATTTGCCCTCCAATCCAATGGCTGCCATTGCTAGTGTGAACCACAAGGTCACGTGACCAGAGGACTCTAGTTGTCTTATATTACTCTATGGTGATTAAACACTGGATTACAWTTTTTTTTACAAAACTTTCTGAAAGTAACCACAAAATCCACATCAATGACYGAATAACTATTGGACTCAATTCAGCTAAAGTTACCCAGGAGAACTGATCAACAAAAACCACCCTATAAATTCTTCACCTTAGTCAGATTTAGATATTGAGCTAACATTTGATGTGGCAGTAGTCGTAGGTTTGACCACATCAACTACAACTCTGTCCTTTCTCCACAAACTATTGTTTTTTTGTCTAATCTGGCATGAAAGGCAGTGGGTGATAAGTATCCCTTTAAGGAATTCTGGGCCTTAAATCAGTGCCTGCCATGATGCAGACACAGATACTCAGTCAAAACTGATGGTCTGAATGGAGAGACTTGAATTCAGAGGACTTCTTCACCAACTTTATTTTCTTTTTATCGGCTCTGGTGTTGCTCCTGATCGCTCCCCCTGTCAGCGGTGTAACTCAGCAGAGCGGCTGCTCGGGTAAATAACACCATCCAGCAGACACGTCGCATCCGCGAATGGCAAAAATGTTCATTCGGGGCYATTTATCCTGAGTTTAATGTTCTTGTCAGCRGCTTCGTTTACTGCCACAGCAACTCTGTCAACCACTCACACAGCACTATGTTACACTTCGTTAGACTAATTACATCAACATTCTTCTCTTGTAATTGTCCCATTTCTTACTGCAGAGTATGTCACTTTCTAGCTTCTGTTTTCATCATTTTCAGAGGGTTATGCGTTTTTGCTGAATGGGTGAGGACTGTGTGAGGGAACTCYGAAGAAATAAAATTAGTTAGGAAGTGATTTGCAGAATAACAATTAGCTCATCCTCAAATAAGATGGTTAAAGTCAAAGCAATGAATATTGAATATTTAGCCTGTACAGTATTTCAGATTGTATCTTTGTTTAAAGGTTTGCAGTAATGGACCCAGCATTTTTATGTTTTATTTATATGGTAAACTAATTGTTCAAAGTGTATAAACTAGMGTTAAAGGGAAGGTTATGAACAGTTAATATAAAAAGAGAAACAAAGTTTACTTCTGACCAGATTGCGGAGCTAACATATGTTGCTCTGTTAGCTCATCACAGGGCAACGATGAGCTGACAGGGCTCATCTGTATTTAGCCTTTTCTAGCAAAACTTCTCAAGTTTAGGTCTTAGTTCACCAACTTATCTGTATTTCTCTAAACGGACTCTGTTTGATGGTCTGGCGGTTATTGAAATGTCCTGTCACATAGTAAACAACAGGGTAAACAACATCAGTCACTAGCTGTGTTTTGTGCACGTTTTGAAGTATTGCATTAGAAAAGGTTTGAAATGGCAAAATTTGAAAAAACATCCACAGTTTCACAAAAAGGTTTTTATGCTCGCTTGAGGTGGTTTTTGGATCTTCCGAAAAAGTCTGACSTAATTATTTTTTGCGCAAAACCAGTAGATGGAAACATTCCTAATTCGCATTTCTTTTTTGCAACATTTTCAGTGTTTACTCAAAACCCGCGTTACAGCAGCTTTAGAGCGCAGAATTAAGTTCATGGCTAGGCTAATGGCTAGCCAAACGAGGGCCTGTTTTTTTTTAGCTTTTCAGACTTATAAAATAACTTTTTCTTAAAAATGACATAAGGGTGTGAAAGAGCGCTACATTAGCTAATATTGAAGTGCTGCTATGAGCACGATAATTATTATTATTTTTTACATTTTGAGTAATCACTACTTTCTTAACGTGTTCCTACACAAGTGCTCCTCAGGCAGATGTTCATGTAGTAACAGAGGATGCTCAGTTGAGGAAACAGTGACAAACTAAATAACCTGTGTGAGGCAAAAGTCTGGAGGTTTAATAATTCAGTGTTCTTTTACACCAGTATGTTGTTTGTTTGTCTGTTTGTTTGTTTGTTTGTTTGTTTGTTTGTTTGTTTGTTTTAAAAGGGAAGGATTTGGGCCACGAAGCAAAAGAAAAAAAAAGTTTTCTGAATTCTCACAAAAACAAAAAAAGGGTTCCAATTTGGCTAGCCATTAATCTAGCCCAGAGMTGTRCAATCCTGGTCCTCGAGMACCGCTATCCTGCATGTTTTGCTCAGTTCTCTAAWTCCAACACACCTAATTCAGGGATTGCATTACCCCTTTGATTTCTGCAGAAGCCTGTTAATCACCCAATCATTAAACCAGGTGTGTTGGAGCAGAGAAACCTTTTAAAAATATGTGGGATAATGGACTTGAGGACCAGGACTGGATACCTCTGGTCTAGTCTAACAAGACATCTGCCTTCTCTCACTACTCAATGCTTRATGACTGATGTCCTGACTGGTAAAATGCTTACTGTTGATAATTATTTCACCAAACATTCTTTGAAAATTCACCAGACTGTCCTTATAACCTTGCAACAGAACCCTACGTTAAAGGATCTGAACTATCTTCAGAGGTATAATACTGATGTCTCTTCTTTCCAGTTTTAGACCTGCCCTTGTGCCAAGACACCCAGGACTCKGAGGACAAGGCTTTGGTGCCCTACTATCTCCACTCCAACCCTGCCCTCTGGAGCCCCAAAACCCGCCGTCTGGAGGTCAGCGTCATTCCCCGGCCCCGGCCGTCTCCTGTCCGCCCCCGCATCGACCCCTGGAGTTTCATCTCAGCTGGAGGCGTGAACTCAGCCGGAGGCCGGAGCCCAGTCCGCACGGACAGCAACCTTCTGAGCTACCATCCCTCGCCCACCAACCCCTTCACCAGCTGCGACCCTTTCCCCACCCCGGACTGCGACCCCTTTGCACTCAAGGCGGACCCCTCGAGCGGCTCGGACGCGGCCTCTCCCTTCGACCCCTTCTCGGCTCCGTTCCCCACCTCCCGCTCGGCGCCGTGCTCCGCCAACGGCTCCCCCACGCTYCCCTCGTTCCGCATAGCTCCTATCAGCTCAGCCGACTCGCCCCTCATCGACCTGGACTGGGCGGCCTGCAGCAAGCCCCTCGATGCAACCAAAGAGAGGGTCCACCCCCGCAGGACACTGGGGCTCAAACCCTTCAAGTCCCCYACCCAACTCAGAGATGACAGGTTCTGAGTTTAACCTCAATCGTGGATATTCACAACTGCAGATATAACCACAAGAGTACAGTTTGGGACTCTTTTTACTACTGTCTTATTTCATGACAAAGATTTAGAATCTAAAAAAAACAAGCCTACTGAGGGGGATTGCCCCCATGGGACCCCCGATCATCACAGGTGTTATTTATCCACCAGCCTGCTGCTTTGGAAAGCAGAAAGCCAGTGAAAGGTGGTACCGTGAATTGTGGGATTGCTGCCTGTGAACCAATAGCTGGTGCCCATTTCAACCTTGTCGCCTGCCTCTGTTACTGTTCCCCTTTGAAGGAGGAGAATCCAGTTCACCAGACCTGTCTTCAGATTCTATCAGACTGCTCATATCCCCCGCTTTCATCTCTGCCTTTGAAGCGATGTGACAATTCAGAGGTGGATCAGGCGACTCTCGCAGCCCCGTCTGCCTCTACAGACTGAAAGCATTCAGGACAATAGAAACAATCAGAGTGCCTTATTTTGTGAAGTGTTTTTAATATATCTTTTCAAGGTTCCTTAATCTGGTMCAAAGGTAAGATGCTATGAATCTGGCCCGATTTTCCACATCGTCTTACCGCAGTGCTGTATAAAAAGTCTTCTGTGTGAGCGTTCCTCTGTCTCAGTCTTCAAAGAAACCTTTTTTTTTTTAACTCTGTAGCATTTTGGGAGAATCCACTCAGAGTGGAAATTCTAGGCCCCTCATGAAATTCAAGACAGGCATTCCTCAGAGAAGCAGATAGCATTCCAGTCACATTCCTCTGAAAATGCCGGGGATTGAACAGATTTATTCGGCTGGCAGGTGACGCTACGCAGAAAAACAAGACGGGGAGCCCGCCGATTTCCCTTCCTGTGCCAAAGAACGCCAATGGGTAGGGGCGAGGACGAGGAAATGTTTGCAGATTAGTTTCTGCCTCGGTTCAGTGCCACAYAGTTGAAATAAATCTACTTTCCCAGCAGGAATAGCCTCAACATATCCCCACATCCTCACCTGTTTAAGCAAGGATCAGCTAAATCTTTTATCAGTGTTGTAGTTAAATCTTATTTAATATTTTCCACAATTTAACTGTTTGTTTAAGCTCYGAAATCGGAGCATACTCCAGACACTCTGAATTTTTTTCCCTGAATGAATCCAGAATTTATGTTAAAATGAATTAGACCAGGAGTGAGATAAGAGAAGGCTAATTAAAACAAAGGGATTTCTTTATGATTTCGACTGAACAGAAGCTGTGGTTCTGAGAACGAAAAAAAACAAAAACAGTCCATCTATCAGTGTTGCAGGTTTTAAAGAGATGTTTTAGGTTTGGAGGTGATAGGTCGAAGAGCTGAGGTGGGCGGGGTTTAATTCAACTTATTGTTGACACGCCGCCAAGTGACAGCACCGTAATGGTCGACGTGAACAGAGACATGTTGAAAAGGATAAAAGATATTCTTAGTTTGTGTAACAAGTCTCCCATAATAATTTTGTTATTATGCGTTTACAGGACACGATAAAGGTTTAATGGCGACAGTATCAAGCTGAAGCAATGCAAATAAAAATGGTAAAAACAGCTTTATTGGTGGTTTTATTTTAGGGATGCACCGATATGAAAATTCCAGCCGATATCGATATCCAGTATTATTATTGCTGTAATGGCCGATAACTGATATGTACCAATATTACACAAACACACAAATTATGTTATACATAAATGCACAAACACACTTGTGTCTTTTTTCAATACCATAAATAAACAATCAGACCTCTGACATGGCTCTACTTCAGTTATTCCTGACTGTGCAGCGTCAATATCATGATCAAACAGATGCTGCTCGACCAAACATTTCGCCTCCTAAAACAGAAACACAAAGCTAAAAAAAGTGGGAAATCAATATCGGACATTAATATCAGCCCAGTTTTACATATCGGGCCGATACCGATGTCAATGCCGATATATCGTGCATCCCTTTTTTGTTTCGTCTCAGAAGTTCGTTTTTTGATTCCACCAAAACCTGAAATTTTAGAAATCAGTTTTGCTCACCAAAATCTGTTTTTAACTCTATTAAATTTAAATATTGTGAGACCAGAGAAGCCTTCCTATGAGTCGTATTTACTGTTCGCAGACTTGGAGCTCTTTGTTTGAAAATATCCATTTTTAGATGGGGCCTAAATTAGACTACGGGCATTTGTGATGCTGATAAATTGATATTGCAGTTACAGTAATATTTTGTTATATAGTGCAGACAGTCGTACTTTAGATCTTCCAGTGATCCTGGYCTAAGCATCGGTTGGCTCAGGTTCCTCCTCACTCCTCTAACCTCTCATTAGTACCTCAGACGGCCACACAGGTGCAACCAAAACATCCTTTAAAACACTGCCTCTTCCTGTGTAATTGCTAGAACGTCTGGCCCTCAGAAGCCACGCTTGGCCTGATTCTGCGTTTTAACAAACTTCCAGCAACAATGCCACTGTTGACGTCCGTCACCATTGGGTTGCCATGGTATCTAAAGGTCACCGCTCCTGGTTGTGCTGCTGACTTTAGTTAGATTGGGTCGGAGCGAGTGTTTCGTTTCGAAGATTTAATTGGCTTTTCTAAGGACTAAGCTACGTGATGTCATCATTTCCTGTCTCACTCGTGGGAGAATAGATGCATTTCCCTCAAAGCTCTCCCTGATTCCCTGATGAGTACTGTTCATTAATATCTGTTATGTTCTGCCGGTGTGAGCTCCTGATCGACCCGGTCATTCTAGTGACTCATTTTGGAGCCACAGTGAGCGCGCCCAGTGTACCATGTTTAATGCTTCATACCTGCAGAGTGRTAAACGTTACAAACTGATGACAGCATCCACACAGCAGTTTACAGGCTTTAGATTGAATCAGGTAATCCCACTTATTACTGTGGGTTCAGCAAGTGAGCAACTGAAAGAGACCCACTTATAGCAGGAAGTCATCTTGTTAACTGTTAGTATTTGTTTAGTGTATTATTTAAAACAAATACAGCGTGTCCCTCCCTGACACCGTGTCATTCAAACACAATACCAGATTAGCAACYTAGACTGAAGTCTTGTCTCCTGAATGGAGAGCGACGGGATCAACTTGTTAATCCTGCAGACGAACGCCGGAAGCTGATACTGATAATTAGTCTCTRGATAAGTGCGGGGAGTCTTAATAAGGCATTCAGATATTTAGCTAATTAATTTGGTCTGACGATATGGAAATGTCCTCCGTACTCCAGGCAAGGTGTCAGATCAGAGCTCTTTAGAAAATGTCCAGTTTCCAACCTCCTTTCTGTTTCTTTGAGCTCTCAGACGCCAGCYGCTAGAAATGCTGACCAGGCTTTTTCTTCATCTTAATTGCAAAAGCCTTTACTTTTTTTCTGCATTCCTCCCCCTCAGGTCATATAGCAGTACCTTTTTCTTAAAAAGGAAAGAAAAAAACGACCTTCTCTCTTCAGAGGGTTTTCTTGGGAGTAGTTGTGAGGAGCGTTCAGTTCAGGAACAACCTGGGTTAAACGAGTCGAGGGACAGAGAGGAAAGTTTATGATGTTAACAGGTGCTGGTTTTACATTTTCTGTTCGGTTATCTAAGCATAGCACCATGTGTTTGAGTTGCCCCGTTACCCCTGAAACATTTTACAGCCGTTACAACATTCAACATTTTAAGCGTCGTTCATTTTAACCTCCTAGGACCTGGTGCCACATGTGGACAAAAATTCATTGTAATGCAAGAGTTTGGGTTGTAGGAGGTTAAAAAAGAATCTTGCAATAAAAGCCAATTTTTTTTTTACATTTGTAATTTCATTTCATTTAATTAAAAACAAAACATTTAATCAAAAAACAAAACAATTTTCAACACAACAAAAATCATTAAATGAAAGGGAGCAGAA